CATTTAAGTATCTTAACTATTAACAAAACTGTATCTTATTTGTGTATCACTCAGCTGTAGATCCTTAAATCATCTCTGAATTCATGCTGACACTGTCCTTCCTTCTGGAGGGGGGCTACTTTTCTTCCCCATGGTCCCTGTGTGTGTTGTAAAGTAGCCACCGCTCCAAGCTCACGCTTGTGATGGACTACAATCTAAAAACAAATTAGCAAACTAAAGGTAAGATTATAATTCATCATGGGTACGAGCCTGGAGCCATGCATACTTTAAAACAATCACAGGGACCATGGGTACAAAAGTAGCAACCCTCCAGAAGGAAGGACAGTGTCAGCACCAATTCAGAGATGATTTGAGGATCTACAGCTCCGATACACAAAGTAGTACATTTTTTGTTACTAGCACTTACTAAGTGATTTACTTACTAAGATTTAACTCCTGAGTTTAGTATCAGTTTAAGCCTGTGCACATGCATGTGATTATCACAAGGTTTTGCCTTTAGTCTATAAAATGAAGTTAAGTTAATAAAATGCCATAATCGAATGTCAGAAAATAGGGATTTTACAAAATATCTTTGCCATTGGAAAGGATAAGACTAGTTAATAATAATAATACTTGTTATTACAACCAATACTATTAATAGCACACACATAAACCTATACATGCGCACATTTTGTATATATATTTTATTTGATTTAAATCTAGTTGTGCTAATCTGTGTAGACTGATCACTTATTATCTTAGGTCATTACACAATTCAAAATCTCTTACACACAGGATCAGTGTAATGAAAGCAATGAATGGCTGATGTAAAGTTAGTCGATGTTTTTTTCTGCATCCTCATTTCTTATTCCATATCAATCTCCATTTGACAATTTCTCATACTCAGCTCTTCATGCATTCAATTTGACAAGTCACTTTACCAGTTTAAATTATTTTACTAAACTCTGAAAAGTTAAAGAATTAAAAAAAATACACACACACACACACACACACACACACACACACCATATACTATAAATTAAAAATGTAAAGGCTAAACAAAAGCTAAAGTAATTATGTAAAAAAATATACACACCCATTTGCAAATACTTGTCTTTTAAAGATAGTTAAGGATCAATACACAATGTAAGTTAATCATATTAAATATTTCCTATTCCTTTTTTGTACTGAAGGTGGAGCTTTAGGCTCCTTTTCATGTTTTTTTTTCCTTATTGCTGGTTGTTAAAAGACTGTCATTGAAGAGTTCAATACATTAAGTTGAAATTGATGCACAGAAGTGAATTCTAAGAAGTGACTAATCCCCACTCCCTCCACATGGCTTTGTCCAAGATTCCAATTAGGTATACCAACCCTAAGGGCAGACAGCTTCTGCACTGTGCTGCTCTCTCTCTCTTAAAATAAATAACCTTTATTAACATAGCGAAAAACAGACCATGAAATCAAAATAAGTAGGCTTGGAAATACAAAGTAAATCTAATACGGACTCTTTATAATACAGGAAGATTGCCCTAATTGCAGTTAGCTTTTTATATAAGAAAATCTAGATAATAAGCTTGTTATAATGTATTCCCTTTGGTTTGATTGTGGTGTATAGAAACAATGCATCCACAATGTAAAGTAAATTATAACTCACAGATTAACGTGCTGCATTTCCAATATGTGTAATTTCAGATGAAGTAGAAATCCTTGTAGACAATGTCACACAGCAATCTCTTCATGTAAGACTTCCCGCTTCAGTTTCTGGGTTCCCATACATGCACAGAATGGCTCACTCCTTGGGTTAGTCTGTGCGCTCCGTGTCCCTCCTTGCTTGAGCTCCTCCAAGCAAATGTGCATAGAAATACCCGCATTCCCTCATTAGTAGATGACGCTCTCCCACAAGCTCTGATTTTTACTTATTAAATTAAATTTAAAAAAATTAAAACACAAAAACATTGTTCATCCCATCTGTATCACTGAGACTTTTAGACGCCTCTCCCTGTGTAAAACTTTTTGTTTTTCTTTTTAGTTTCTGGGCATTCCAACTGATCCATGTTGTAATATTTCCATGCATTGCTCATACCAACTCTGTACTTCATCTGCTGTACATGATACCTGCTGTATTGTTGACCGATTTGTGCCCTGCCTTACGCATCTTGATTGTATACATCTATTATTTTGGGCATTGCCCTTCCTGTACTTTTGTTTTGTTTTTGTCTTTGTTACTATGATAAAAACTCAATAAATTCTTTGTTAAAAAAAAAATGTGCATAGAAATATCGGTCCTGTCCTTGCAGAAAAGTATCAACATTAAAACTGGTAATTGCTGGTTGGGGTCCCTTCACTGGTATTCACTAACCCTAAACTACTCATCTGCAATCAAAGCATAACAACCTAACAATATGCCAGACATGCTGGCTTTTTCCTATTATTACTCATTGTAATTCTTCAAAGTAAACATCTTTTATGCTTCACCCCATGTCTGTATAGCCTGCCTATCTAGAGGCAGAGCCAGCTGTACCCGCCCCCTCCCCTGTCCGTTCCAACAGTGAGCGCTGGAGTATGGGAGTGGGGAGGGGGGAATCCAGTCCCTCCCGTCACGGCTCTCTGCCGTAACAGGATCAAGAAGTGAGCGCCGGTATGTGTTTGCTCACTTACCGATCTACTGAGCCGACCTGTGACAGTTCATTGTCACAGGTCGGCTAGAACTATGAGGATGAGTGAAAAGCACTCACCTCATAGTTCTTTAAAAAAGGAGTTAAAAAATTACATATGCTAACCTTCTCAGTTTAATACATTATTAGTTGAATACAACACCTTGGTCAACAACAGAAAAAAAAAAAAAAAAAAAACCTAAAGCCAAGTCTGCATTTTGTGCATACGTGGCCACTACAAGATTAGCAAGTACTGTAATACGCAAAAAAAAGTGATGACTTCATTACTTACTATTATGTTCTTATCACTAAGCTTCAGAACTGAAATATTAGTCATCATGTACAATGTGCAGTCCAACACAAAAAAGGCTGAAAGCAGGTGAAATAATCAAAGATGTTGATAGCCACTGGTTTGTAAGTGACGTTTTAATTAAAACGAGTATGCTGTGCTGCCAGACCACAAAGTTATGCTCAAGTAAAGCTATTTAATCACAAGGAAAATTTTAATTACTGCTGGTTTCTAATATGCAAGAACAAAAGTTTTCATTTAGCTTTAGTAATGAAGCCTTTAATCACTTTCAGGGCGGATTACATATTCTGAGCATGTTGAACAATAGTACAGAATACTTTCCTGCAAGCCTAGTCTAAAGTTCAGTTTCACCTCAATGAGAATTCCCTTTTCCTGGAAATACCAGACAGTGTTGCAATTACCCAACAAGCAGCCTTATGTAAGAAAGCAATTTGTTTTTAGCCCAAGAATCTCGGAGCAAAACATGACCCCCAAAGTCATAGCCTGCTGCTAACTCTCATCGTAACCCTCTTTGCCTAGGCTTCCTTTAAGAATAGCTAACCCCTTAATTGCACACTGACCTCATCCTGCACAATATACCTGCTGCAGAGCCTACCAATTTATCCCAGGCTGTTGCAGAAAAAAAATGAATGAATTAAGTCATGTTAGTGCCTTTGGCAGCTCCTCTACAACAGCGACTGCTCATCACAGTTGAGCTAGACTCCTGAGCACGAAGCATATAGGAGACAATTTACTCACTTGCTGGCTTTGCGTTAACATGAAGCCTCGTTTGTGTCATGAATTCTCTAACCGGTTTTCAAAGAGGAGGTGGAGGAAGTACAGCTTTGTAGACGCATGAGGAGAAAGTATATAAATTACCATCTTTTTAAGAGAATAGGTCATTAATATAAAAATTAACTGCTGCAGGTATAAAGTTCAGGCTCCAGGAGGTACCCTCAAATGCCTGTAATGTCTTTGTAAATCCTGACTGACAAAGCTCTATTCTGACAGTCAGGCTCACCGTCCAACAGGAAGGGGTAGGCAAGCTTTGGCTCTTTCAGGTAGTGTGAATTATCAGAGATTCAGCCATGACAGCAGGATTTAGGTAGCTTATACAGGTATATGCATGTAGTTTATTTATTTTATGTTAATGACATATTCTTTCACTTCATATACATACCATAACACTTTTCTATGTTGTCATACATATTCAGGGCTGTTCCAATCATAACTCAAGCAATCTCATACACAAAAATGCAGCACACCAACACAGATACATTAAATGAGAACTATGAGGTGAGTGATTTACACTCATCCTCATAGTTAGAGCCGACGCGTGACATTGAAACTGTCACACATTGACTCTATAGATTGGGAAGTGAGCAAACACATACCGCCGCTCACTCACTGCCCGATCGGCTCCCTGCAGTGAGCGGTGACTGTCAGTCACGGCTCCCCGCAGGGATTCCCTCCTACCCTCTTCGATCCTTCAGCGCTGACTGGAAGAACGGACGGGGGAGGGCACAGCTGGCTCTGCCTCTGGATAGGCAGAGCACGCAGTCAATAAGCCAACCGGGTGGATCTCGACAGTATTGTCAGGATCCATCCCGGCAGCGGTGCTCTCAGTATATAGTGGGCAATAGCTACATACTGAGCTTTGGGTCATGGGAGGATGTTAGTATATGTTCTCCCATGATCCTAAAGCGAACTATGGGATAAAAAGGTTACCCCATAGTTCTCTTGTAATGATGTGTCATAAGAGCCAACATGATAATTGAATGTACTTAAAAAACTAATACAATTTGTAACTGATTTTCATTCAGCATTTATTCAAAAATAATATCAAAATCAATACTGTACAAAGATTCTAAGATATAAATATTTTCTAACAAACTTTCCTACTGGCAATAATACAGGATTTAATTTTTTTTGCAAAAATTGTTTTTTTCCCCCTCTTCATATTATTAATACACCAGTGAATGAAATATTTAGCTTCACTGATTTAACATAATTGTAGGTATATACAAAGTTTATTTTTTTTTATTTTAGAAAGAAGCTTCAGTTAATCACGGTCTTCAATACAGTCTTCATATTTCAATCAAGTGCAAAGTTTCTCATTTCTTTAAGGACCTCTGATCTGTAGTTCTGTTCCAAGCTTTCCATATATTCCAGATAATCCCCAACATGAAATCCATGAATGGCTTCTTCCTGTTAAGAAAACATAATAGTAATCCAACACTGCATTACTGCATATCATAATGCATAAAACTACATAATAAGGATCAGGGTGCTGAGCTGTACATGGATAAGGGATGCTGCATGATGTGGGAAGTACGTCTCTCTTCCTTGGAAATTGACCAGTGTGCTGGTAAATTATCCCAAGAACTCCCAGAGTTCCAGAATCCAAGCCTCAAGGTAGAGGCCAAAAGACAACATGTACAGGTGAATATCAAAGCTGCCACCAGCCACAAATGACAGGCTTGTGAGGTACCTTGCTTTTGACAACCTTAATCCATACACTCTGCTCTTCAGCAGACTGGCACATGGTCTTTCAGTCTCGTCAGATTTGTGCGTTATTTAGAGCAATTATATACCAAGTTATTAATTTTTATATTTAATATCCCCAGACAAGCAACACGCAGAAAAGAACAAAACAGACGTTGTAAATTATAACATACAAGTGCAACATACAAGTGCAAACAGCATTAAAATAAAAGGGATAAAACTGCTGGACCACCCCACCCCCACATGGATGGAACCCCTCAGATATGAACAAAATATGATTGCAGATCTCTACTATTATGCCTTAGACATCGAAGTTGCCACCCACTCAAATTATCAAATTGGATGGAAGGGGTGGCTGCTGTGTATTACCTAACTAGCACAGGTTGGATTTTGGTAATAACAATCTTTAAAACCTCTTAACTATGTCTAGAAATGCATTATGGGTACATAATATTATAATGGTTCTGCTAGGAAAAGTAGTATTTTAATATACAGCTGCAGTATGTAATATTATAAAATAGTACGCTCTTTGGACCTACATAGTATTTGAGGTTGAATAAAGACATAAGTCCATCAAGTCCAACCTATTGTGTGTGTGTGTATGTATAGGTCCCTGTGTCATCTCATTCTTAAGAGTACCTGTACCCCTGTACATTACGGTCTCTCAGGAAATCGTCCAAAAGCTTATTGAATGATTCCACACTATTTGCTGAAATCACTGCATGTGGCAGGGAGTTCCAGACCCTAACCGCTCTAACTGAGAAGAACCCCCTTCGCCCCTCGTGTTGGAATTTTTTCCCACCAATTTTAGGTGGTTGCCTCTCATCTTTGTTATGGAGTTAATCGTAAAGAGTTTGTTGCTAATGTTGCTATGACCATTGAACATCTTGTACATGAAAATCATATCCCCCTTCAATCTCCTTACTTCCAGCGTGAACATATTTAAATTAACTAGCCTTGTCTCATAGTTTTGGTCATCCATTCCCTTAATGAGTTTGGTTGCCCTCCGCTGGACTCTTTCCAGCTCAAGGACATCCTTTCGGAGTGCTGGTGCCCAAAACTGGACCGCATACTCCAGGTGAGGCCGAACCAGTGATGTGTAAAGTGGCAAAATTATAGACTTGTCCCTGCAAAACATTCATTTCTTGATACAGGACAGGACTCTACTAGCTTTGCTTACAGCAACCTGGCACTGTAAGCTATTATTCAGTCTATGGTCTACAATGACCCACAAATCTTTCTCCATTTCTGACTTCCCTAGCGGCATACCCATAATTGTATAACCCATTTGCTTATTTTTAATCCCAAAGTGCATAACTTTGCATTTATCGACATTAAACCTCATCTGCCACATAGTTGCCCACTCCCATATTTTATCCAGGTCCTCCTGCAATGTTATACTATCTTGGTCCATTTCTAATACCCTCCAGATTTTGGTATCGTCAGCAAACACTGAAATATTGCTGTTTACACCCTCCCCGATGTCGTTGATAAACAGGTTGAATAGCATGGGTCCCAACACAGAACCCTGAGGCACACCGCTCATGACACTAGCCCAGTCTGAAAGGGCGCCATTTATTGATTCTCTATGTACCCGCTCCTTTAGCCAGTTCTCTATCCATGTACACACCCTTCCATCTATGCCCATAGACCTCAGCTTGTATAGTAAGCGTGTATGAGGTACCGTATCAAAAGCCTTTGAGAAATCCAGATATGCCACATCCACAGACCTCCATCCAGATCTCTACTTACCCCCTCTTAAAAAGTTAGCAGGTTAGTCTGACAGGAACAGTCTTTCCTAAACTCATGCTGATTATCACTAACTATGCCATTATCCGGAACAAATTCTACCAAATAGTCCTTAATCATTCCAACAGTTTACAAACTAACGATGTAAGACTAATTAGTCTGTAGTTCCCAAGTTGGCAGCTTGCCCCCTTTTTGAATACTGGAACTACCGTAGCCCTCCGCCAGTCATTTGGAACTCTACCAGTCTTTAAAGAGTCCTTAAAAATGAGGAATAATGGTCTTGTTATTATCTGGATTTTTATAATTTTTTTATTTCGTGTTTCAAACTTTATCATACCTGGGATGTCTACTGGACTCTTGTTTGGACAGATTTAGGGGAGTTATTCCTAGGATTTACTAAGAACTATAGGCCTACAATGTAAAACAACATATTTGCTTGAAAAACAATGTACCGCTTTTGGTACCTAAAATCCTGAATAATCATACAGCCAGGGAGGTTAAGTATCTTGGGGTGCAGGTTATCAGGTCCCAATGCTTTATTTGCATTAAGTAGTTTAAGTCTTTGTTGTATCCCAGTTTCCATCAACCACTGGGGTATATTTTGTGTTGAACTATGTGTTTTATCATGTACATTAAACCACTCTTTTTCTTTTTTTTTTTTTTACTAACTAACGCGATATGCTTTTCGTACTCTATTTTAGCTGCCCGAATTACTAGTTTACATCTTTTATTCCATTCTTTGTAGTTCTGGAACACCAAAGCCGTCCCCTCCATCTTATATTTTCTAAATGCCACTCGCTTTTCCTTGATGTGTTGCTTTACATTTTTATTTAGCCATACAGGCTTAGTTTGTGTTCTTTTACTTTTATTACCCAACGGTATACACTTGGCAATGGCAATATGTAATGTGTTCTTAAAACATTCCCACTTTTGGATCGAGTTCAGTTTGTGAAATAATTTTTCCCAGGTGGTGCAGTTTATCAAAATTAGCCCTTCTGAAATGTAGGGTTCTTGTCCGACCAGCCCGCTTCCCTTTCCTGTATCCAATATTGAAAGTAATCACTATTACCCAGTGTCTCCCCGATTACAATATCCTCAATTAACTCTGCATTATTAGTAGTGATCAAGTCTAGGATGGCATGTTTTCCTAGTTGGAACCTCAACCAACTGCTCCATGAAATTGTCTCTCAACATGTTCAGAAAGTGGCCCGCCTTTGTCGAACCTGAGGTACCATTAACCCAATTTATGTCCGGATAATTGAAGTCGCCCATCACGACTACATTGCCCTGCTTCCCGGCTATTTCTATTTGGGAGTGTAGATGAGCCTCCTCGCCCTCCCCTATATTTGGAAGTTTGACCTAAGTAGCTTAGAATCTTATATCCTTACCACTGTCAATAAAATTACTTACACACACTATAGTGACACCGATTAGAACCCAAGGCATGGTAATAGAGGGTGTCTATATCCCCCCAACAGTGCTCCACCCTGGATGCAGCACAGCAGGTAAAGAAGCCAGCCCAGGAATTCTGTCTCCCCAGCCAGTTCCTCACCTGTAGATAATGAGCAGCACTAGATATTTTGAGAAAGAGATATGGAGGGTGAAGAGACCAGCAGTAGGGGATACAACATGCCACTAAGAGGACTTATTTCTAAAGGGGAAAACTAAGTTTGAAAGGTCTATGCATCTATTTTTTTCTTATTTTGTGAACAAGCCAAGTTACTGCAGTCAGTTGTGCCTGTTAGTAAGCACTTAGTAGAGCAATATTTTTTTGTTTGCTTAAGTTTATTTTTGCCTGTTTTGCCAGACTTGTTACTAACAAGAGAAAAAGGGCTGCACTCTGCACAAACTACAACATTGTGTGGTGTTTCCAACCTGGAAGATTGTGTGGCTCTAAGATCCCAGGTCACACTATGTACATCATAATGTGAAGAACATGCAAGGTGGTAGCAGTTGTTGAAATGGCCAAATTCTGACAGCAAGGAGTGGGAAACCATCAATGCAGATATGAGTCTGATCTTAAGTGGTATCAAGAGGTCAATAAAAAAAGAAGTTGGAAAAGATGGACAACCTAGTCTGCCAGTATGGAAGTTAGAAATTTGAAACAAAAGAACAAGACCTAAAACATAAGCTCTCGAAGCAGCGAAGAGCACCTTGAAATTGCTTGTTTGAAGAGCTTTTCTGTATGGTTTGGGGGCTGACTTTCTAGCCACGTTCTTACTACCAAGCCATTTCTTGTGAATTTGATTGTTTTGTCTTCCTTTATGGAACACACCTATAAATGAAACTTGGTGAGATGTACATATAGAATCCAAATTTAGGATACTAATATATTTTTCAGGTACTAAATCTGGAGCTGTAAAGTTGAAAGGATAGGGTGCCACAGTTGGTAGCCTCAATGACCAACAGTTTTACAAAGATAATGAGTTTGACCTGATCAGGACCCACTAGATATGCCCCCTTTTGCTGCCTGTGAATTGGGTTAGTTGGATTTTGGAAACTATTGGACATATATGAATAGGAAAATTGATGTTGCCACACGTCCTCCCAAGTACGCAGACGTGGGTGTATGTGAAACCCATCAGGGTTAACAGAGTGATATCCCTTCCATATCCTTGTATAAGACTGATCCTAAATACAATTTATGTCCATCTATGATGTTTCATGTTAAACGCAGAGTAAAATAAAATAATTGAAGTAAAGGGAAATTGTTCAGAAGTATATACTGTATATATACAGGTGAAACTCGAATAATTTGAATATCGTTGAAAAGTTCATTTATTTCACTAATGCAACTTAAAAGGTGAAACTAATATATGAGATAGACTCATTACATGCAAAGCAAGATAGTTCAAGCTGTGATTTGTCATAATTGTGATGATCATGGCCTACAGCTCATGAAAACCCCAAATCCACAATCTCAGAAAATTTGAATATTACATGCAATCAATAAA